CCATAACCTCTTCCTATCATTCCATCTCTCCCTCTGCCTCACCCTCTTAAACCCCTTTGTCCTCACTGAGACTCCTAATTCCTCCAGTCATCACCCTTGCTCTAACTGCACTTCCCTCCCTCTCTACTCTTGACCTTGGAGTTGGCTCTTGTCAAAGTTCTCCCAAGCCTCAGCTCTGCATCCGACCCTCCATCTGACTCCTCCACTCCTACTCAGATGCTGCTCAGCAGAGCTGGTGCAAGTCCATGTTGCTTCTCTCCTGCAATCTCCCACAACCACCCACAACCACACTTTCCCCCTCTCAAATGATGCTCTCACCTTCTTCTGAAGTCTGAGAAAACTGAGGGCTCTGAACATAAGCTCCTCCTTTTCCCCTTTTCTTCATCTCCAAACCCCAACGTCATCTCCTGCCTTTGCCTCCTTTCCCCTGGTCTCTGACAAGGAGGTAGCCCTTCTCTTTGCCACAGCCAACCTCTCTACGTGTCTCCTCGTTCCCATCTTCTCCAACATATTCGATCCCAAATCACACCATCCTTCTCCTCTTGTGTTCAACCTCTTATCTACTGTTTGTTTCCCTACTGCCTTCAAAAATGTCTAAGTGTCCTCCACCTTAAAAAAAATTTCATCAGACTCAACTATCCCTTCAAACTCTTATTCTCTATCTCTTCTAGAAAAGCTGCCAAAACTCATCGCTTCCACTTCCTCCTCTCACTCCTCAACCCTTTGCAATCTGGCTTGAGACTTCACTCAATTGAAACTGCTTTCTCCAAAAGTAACTCTTAGCCAAATAAAATGGTCTTTCCTCAAATGTCACAAATCGATATATTCAGCACTAGTTTACCAATTGTCTATTGGACATTTCAAATGGTAAGTTCCAGAATCAACTCAAAGTCAACATGTCCAAAACATTCTCTTCCCTCCCCCTACCAAACCCATTTCTCTTCTAATCTTCCCTATTCCTGTCAAAGACATCATCACTCTCCCATTCTCTCAGTGTTATCTTTGACGACTCATACTTCTTCACCCCCCATATTGAATCAGCTGGCAAATCTTGCTGCTTCTATCTCTACAACATATCTCAAACACGACCTCTTCTCTCTATTCAAACATCCACCACCCTGGTCTTGAGACTATTGCAAAGGTCTCCTAATTAGTCTCCTTGATTCAAGTCTCTAGTCTATCCTACACACTGATGTCTTGGAGACTCTGGATACAGGAGCTTTGACTCTGTTGTCTTCTTCTGGTTGTTATGTTTTTATCTTCTTTGTCATCAAAGAAAGATTCCATGGTCTGACTTTTTTTGCACAGTTTGCTCATGATCCCAGCCAATTACTTGAGTTTTAAACTCTCCGTTAAGGTAGGAGTCTGCTTCCAGTGTGGACAACGTACTGTCCCAAGCTTCAGGGGTTTTGTGCAGCTGTTCTCAGAGATACTTCTAGGGACCTGTAAGTTTTCAGTTCTTCCAAGGTGGTATGATCAAGGGCAAGGTGTTTACTCCTTTCCTGGCCTGTGCTCTGGTCTATGAGTGACCACAAGCACTCTTTTCTGCCTTGGAACTGTGAGGAGGATTCCCTCTTCACCACCACTACAAGCTCCACCACACCAGCTCTCCTCCTTGCCTCAGGATCACCACCCAGAACTGTGACGCAGATCCAAGCATGGGCAAAGCAAGAGAATCCTGCCTCAGCATCAGCAAAGAGATCCCTGCAATCCCCCTCTGATCAGCCATTTGATTCCCCCTCAGTCTGTAGGCCAGAAGCTCCAGAAGCAGCCACTGCCCCAGGGCATGCCAGGACTGGGGCTGGGACGGAGCTTCTCTCTCACCACAGTTGCAGACTTTCCCTACTGACCTTCTAAGTTGTCTTTGGCATTTGTGGGTTGAGAAATCTGGAAACTACCACAGTTACCCATGATTCAGTCCCCTGAGGCCTGCTTCAGGTTCACTGAGGCCTGGTCTTTGCCTTTGTGCCCATGCCGAACTGCATTACTCTCCCAGCCTAGAGTGATACACCTTTCCAATCAACCATACAGGTGGAAAATTTGGGGAAATTTGGGCTGGAAATTTGTTTCACTCTATCTTTTTGTGGGTTCTGCTGCTCTAGAATTTGTTTAGAGCCATTTTTATAGGTATTTGGAGGGGTTTGGGGGAGAGCTCAAGCAAGTCACTGCTTTTACTCTGCCATCTTATCTCTGCTCCCCCCTACACACTAATGTCAAAGGGATTTTTGTGAAGGATGAATCTGACCATGTCATTCTCTTATGGTACCACACTCTATTTCCTGTCTCTATGATTTGGCATTAGCCATTCCCCATGCCTGGAATGTACTCCTTATCTCCACCCTACAGAATTCCTCTCTTCCTTATACATGAGGCCCAAGTACCAACTGCTACATGAAGCTTTTCCTGATCCCCTTAACTGCTACCTCTCAAGCTACCTTTCATCTCAAATCTGAAATTCTTCAGATTTATGCTCTTTATACTTATTCTGTGGCCATGAGTATATGTATGTGCATGCACGTGTGTACACACATATGTATCTGTTTGTTGTCTCATGTGTATGCCTCAAGTAGACACTTAATAAATGCTTGCTGACTGACTGCTATAGATGAAGTTGAGAACTGTGAGAGAGGTGATTTGTCCAAGGCAACAAAGTTTTTAATTAGTTAACATTAGGACTTCAGCTCCTCCGGCTATATAGTTTGCCTCTACACCTCTATATGCTACATTCCCCCCCTCCCAATAATTCAAATAAGTGAAAATGTCATTTTCAATATTTCATGAAGTACCTTAAGAAACCTGGAAGAGTTATGGGACCCAGCAGAACCAGAGCAGGGGATGAGCAAGTTGGGCTGATGCAGTAGGGCAAGTGCAGGTAGCCACCACAGAGCTGTGGCAGAGAAGCAACACAAGCATCTTCTCAGAGGGCACTGGGAGCACAACTTCCTCAGCTGAGTACTGGAAAGAACCCTAAAGGCCTTCTTGTCAAACCCTGCCATTTTACAGATGAACTAACCAAGGCCCAGAGAGCTCAAGGCCATACAGAGAGCAGAAGTGATGAAGCTAAGCTTCTCTTCACTTGGGCTCTCTGACTCCACATTCAGTGGTCATGTCAATAACCTTACACTCACCTTCTCTGCCAGGCTAGTCCAGGCCTAACCCTGCAGGTCCTATCTGTCCCTCCCTCTACAACCAAGCTAAATTCATGAACTCTACAAAGCCTCCCTAACTAGGTTGTCAAATGAGCGTCTTCCTCTTTTGGATTCCTACAGAATCTGCTGCACCATGTATTTGGGCAAAGATCTTCAGCTCTGTACATGTGCCATCTCCCCAGAAGACAGCTAGCTCCTTAAGGAAGGCACCTCTTTGTAAGGTATTTGTCACCCCCCATAGCTTAGCACAATAGTGTATATTCAAATGTTGGAAAGAAGGATGTTCGGGAAAAAATGTTCAAAAAATTACTTCTAAGAAGTAATTACTAGCACACCACCTCTAGTATTCCTTCCCTCCTCTACTCTCTATTCCCATGAACACCTGCAGTATACACCTTTGTCTGGACAACTATAATAGCTTCCTAACCCACCTTTGCCTCCATTTCTCTTCCCTCCAATCCATCCTTCACTGCCACCAAATTAATTTTCTACCACAAGCACTACACAGTGCAGCTCTGACCACAGTGTCTCCTCTCAAAACACTTCAATGGTGCTCTAGCACTGACCATGTTGGAGCCTAGTATTCGAGACTCTCTCTGATTTGACTCTATCCTGCCTTGCTAGCTTTTGTCATACCACTCCCCTGTTAAAGTTAAAGTGCATGACTTTAAGCAAAATGCGACTCACCCTTTCTGGACACTCTACCCTTGTACCTGGAATTCCCTGTTCTAAGACTTTCTATTGAAACATTTGAAGCCTACTTTTCCCCCATGATTCTTCCCTGACATTCCTAGCTGATAATTCTCTTTATCACCTGATCTCATAGCCTTTTATTATTCTTATAAATTAAGCACAGTTTAATCTATATTAAGCTCTGTAAATGTTTTATTTCAGCTACTAGAAAGTTAAGTCCTTAAAAATAAGGGTTGTACATAATTTGCCTTTGTTTAACTATACAATAGAATGTGTACTACCAGAAGCTGTAATTTCATCAGTGTGGGTAGTTCCCCACTAACATAAATCATAATTCCTCTTCTTTGTTCGTTGTATCCAAAAAAATCCACTGCTGACTCATTGGACTATCAATCCATTGTCAACAGCATCACATATGGCCTCTCCAAGTCATCTTTGGTAATGACCCTCTGTCTCTACTGCTTTCTCCTTGTGTTATGATTGCTACAGAAATCTACTCACTAGCTATCCCAGACTGGAAGGAGCTGCCAGAGCTTGTGTTTGCTGACATAATCTTTCAGAATCAGGGTCACCTGCCATTCAAAGACTTGCATCAAGGTGAACAAATGAAAAATACAAATTGAAAAATGTTAATTATATAAATCTTGGTTTCCTTCTAAATAAAATTGGGATAATACTACTACCTATCTCACTACCTATCACCTACCTCTCTTGTTATAAGGAAAGACTTTGTAAACTTTACAGGACTACAGAAATATATTCTACTAAGATTATTATCAATAGCATAAAATGCATATGGTGCATCATGAAACCAAGAGGGAAAGGTCTCTTTCAAAAAGGGTGATTAGGGAAAGGCTTCCAGGAAGTGGCATGTGACCTGGATCTTGGAAGAAGGGAAGGATTTCAACATGCTGAAATGGAGGGGAGGAGAGCATTCTGGGTGAAAGCTTGCCTGCTGAGGTGGGCAAGTATGGAATAAGTTCTGGACCCAGAAAGTAATGCAGTTTGGCAAAAACATTCACTATCTGGTGAGGTGGGAAAAGTGGTGTGGGATGCTAGGTGATGAAAAGTGGTGTGGGATGCTAGGTGATGGAGTTTAACTTTATTTTGGAGACATTTAACATCTGATGAATCAGCAATGTAGCCCATGTTCCTTACCGATATAACGAACTCCTGGTTTAATGACAATGGCACTGCGGCTGCGGGTCTCCTCCTCAGCTTGGGCCATGCTTTGCCGGGCTTTTTGGTAAGAATCATCAGTGGCACACACAGTAATCTTGTCCTGTATACTGCCCAGGCAGTCCAGATGGACATTTCCATTGCTGAAATACAAATAAGAAACTGAGTGCTCTACTTTATTAGCAAATAACTGAAAGCCAGGAAACCTGTGAAGAAAACTCCAAGACTTGATCATTTTCTGGAAGGTGACACTTGCCCTCAAATGCCTCCCTTCTACAAATTCATTTCAAATAGAAGAACAGTAATTCAACCACCAAAGTGCCTATTAAGGCCATTCTCCAGCATGTTACCTCAGCCTACCATACTGGAAAACATTCCTGACTACATACACCCGACTAGATAGCTCTAGGAAACCTGGGTTCTAGTGCCAGCAATGCTACTGACCCACTGGCTTCGGGCAAATGAACTTATCTCCCCTCTCTGGGCCCCAATTTTTTCATCTGTAAAAATGAGAGGACTAGATGGTCTCTAAGGTCTTTCCAACTCTGATATTCCATATTATGAGTTTCAAAGTTGCTTTCAGCTCTATGATTCTATGACCCTGGGGTACATGTTTTAAAAACAAAATTTAATTTAACTGTAGGCAGAGACACAACTTTTAAAAGGACAGATAACACTCTGTCAATGCATATTTGCATTAATGCTAATTATTCCATAATATCACTCACCTGGACACATATTGCTGGATGCAATCAAAGCTCCCTTGGGGGCTATCCCTGCCAATATTTGAAAGATAAAATGTGAAAGTTCGTACTTCTGTTGGATAACCAGGCCGGGGAATTGTGATGTGCTGTTTGGAAAGGGAAGGGGAAAAGTGTCAGTCACTTGGAAAGTGGCACTGTGTGACCTTTACTTAGGTTAACCAAAAAACCACTGGTTAAATCATCATTATCATCATAAGCCAAGACCAACCTTAATAATGATAAGAAGAACTAGCATTTATAATATAGCACCGTAAGGTTTGCAAACTGTTTTACACATATTGTCTCATTTGATCCTCACAACGACCCTGGGATGTGGGTGCTACTAACCACAACCATTTTACACATGAGGAAACTGAAGCTCAGAGACATTTGGTGACTTGTCCAACGTCACACAGATAGTTAAGTGTCAGACTCAGAATTCAAATTTGACTCTTCCTAACTCTAAATCCAGCACTTTATGCACTATGAAAAGTAATTGCCTAACCTTATGAATCAATAAATTACTCCATCTACAGGAGAGTAATTTCATTTTTTATCAATCTTTAAATTTCTCTTTTTGTCATAATACCTGCACAAATAACTATCAAGCTTTATCAAGATCATAAGAGAAATCCTATGTGAGTTCCCAAGTTGGCCCCTGGATCTCCACTTTAGTGTTCTTTACTGAGGCTGTCCTCCCACCTGTACCCTTGTTTGGAATCCCTTATCTGTTAACATTCTACCTAAACTTTCTGAGGTCCTTCTCATATGCTGTCTCTTCCATGAATCTTTTCCTGTTCTCTTTTCCCAGCCAAAAGGGACTCCTCTTTCCTTTGAAATGCCAGAGCACCCAAAGTTCCTCCTTCTCCTCACCCCTTTTAGATACTTATATTCCTCTCATTCTTACTTTTCACATCTCGCTCAGAACCTAGCAGAGAGTAGGCCTTTAATAAATGCTTGGTTAATGAATGATGACAGTTTCAGGGGCAAGATGACTTGGATATGGAAAGGCCATATGTGATGTTGTTGACAAGTAATTACGTCTAGCACATTCCAGACTATACGGAAGATGGCTGGGATAGAAAAAGAGAGTTTGCTCTTCTCTTTAGCTACTGGCTTTCCATTGTAAAATTGTCATTATACCCCTAGGTCTCTTAGAAGGTCAAATTAAGAAAATCACTTGCATTTAAGGGGAAAAGGGTCACTAAAATTTCTTCTTCCTGTCTTACCTAAAAGCAAGAGGTTAAACATACTGCTTTAATTTGGGATCTTAATGGTGATGGGGTTTTTTGGTTTTATTTTGTTTGTTTTTAAAGAAAGCTAGCCAAAGGAGTGCATATAAATTTAATCCTACATTTTAATGACACACTGACCTAAAGAGTATTTACTGGATGTCAAGTGGACTTGAAACCAAATAATTAACTGTTCTGTTACCAAAAAACATACTTGAGCTAGGAGGCAACAGGATATAAAACAAAGAACACTGTCCTATGACGACATAAGATACTTGGGTTCTAGACTCAGTTCTATCACTCGCTTCCCATAAGTAACGGACAAGACACTTTATCTTTGTAAACAGGGGAAGAAGTTCCCATTTTGACACTCTGTATTCTATATTCTAGCTCTGAGACAGCCTAAATCTATTTTTTTCCTCCAAAAGCTAAGATTCACTACCTACCTCATTTATGTACTAAGTATTTCACTAGAGCTTCTGCTGTTGATATACTACTCATGAACACATGTAACCACCCAGAGTAGACTTAAAATAACCCATTTACAGATGTGACTTTTGTTCTCAATTACAAGTCATTCGAAACACACTACACAGATGACTGAGTTTCAAGTTTCTGAAAATCATTGCCAATCAGAGGTTCATGAAAAGCATCAGAAAATCATGGTGTGTTTCCAGTTTGACTTTTACTCATAATTACCTTAAATACATTAACTGGAAGCAAATTCTAAGAAATCATAAAATTGGGGAAAAAAATCAAAAGCAACTTCTGATTAAACCTGAAATCACTCATATTAACTTTTTCAAACACTCTCTTTGATCCTCTTTCTTTTTACCACCTGCAAATAAAACACCATGTCTTTTTTATACCAATTAAACAAATTCCCATTTCTATAGTGATATGCAACTTTTAAAATACTTTCCTCACAACCACCCCAAGTGGGAAAGGTCATATAAGTAGCTTCATTCCCATTTGACAAAAGAAGAAATGGAGGCTGTTCACAGCCACACAGCTAAGAAAAAGCTGGAGCCAGGATTTGTACTATGACTTCTGATTTGAAATCCTAAGATTCTAAGTCTTTACCACAGCAATATGGCTGATGAATAGTATGAATTCAGCTACAGAATTCTATCACTACATTTAGACTGGAGAAGTCTTAGAGGTCACATTATTGTTGTCTTTAAACACTCAAGGAGGGAGCTATCACAGGTGAAATGGATCAGAAAACAGAACTCCAAGCTGTGGGTGGAAGTTGCAACGGCACAAAATTCAGCTCAAAAGCAAGTAGGGACTTCCTAATGATCAGAGCTGCCCAAACACTCCTCGCGGAGAGGAAAGAAGATGACTTGTTGGAGACAGTGTATACAGGAGATTGTTGCTGTAACTAGGGACTATGCTGCGTAATGCTGGCTACTACATCTTACCTCTCCAAAGGGCCCATTTCAGTTCATTTTCAGTATAATGGAGGCATTCAAGTAAATTACCTAACTGTCCCTCTGAGCTCTAGTACACTGTATTGGGAAGGGGTAGATATGTTTAATGTAAGGGTTGAAGTAAATCCTTTTAACCAAAGGATTAACTATATACCTTTAGTGTTCCTTAACCAAAGGTATATGAAGGCAAAGACAGATGGTATCTTTATTTTGCATTATTTAAAGAGGCTAACAAAAATTAAGGGTAAATCCCTAACAGTGCTTTGTTCCCTCAGCTGGAAAGCACAAGATTACAGCTGAGAGAGAGAGAGAGAGAGAGAGAGAGAGAAGCAAGCTGAAATAGCACAGTGTGTTTCTTTCTGAGGGAGAGCTGAAGAGTATAAAGAAGCTTGGGTTATGTTCCATTAAAAGATAGGATCTCTCCAAGGAGCTCTGAGAGGTAAAGTTCTCGGAGCCTCTGAATATGACCTATTTTGAGAGAAGGGTTCAATTTTAGGAAGCTTCTGTTCTAGATCTAGTTTCTAACTTCCCTTGATATCTTATATACACATAAAAAATAGTTGAGATTCAGGGCCTGTTACCTACATGCGTAAAGCACTTTCTAGAAGACTAGTAGCCAAACTTCATATTAACAGAATTTTTTAAAAATATTAAAAATGCAGGGCAGCTAGGTGGCACAGTGGATAGACCACCAGCCCTGAAGTCAGGAGGACCTGAGTTCAAATATGGCCTCAGACCAAACACTTGACACTTACTAGCTGTATGACCGTGGGCAAGTCACTTAACCTCAATTGCACTCCCCAAAAAATATATATGTGTGCATACACACACACACACACACATAAAATGAGAACCAGCAGGAAACCATAAACAAGTGAGATTTGATTGAATAACGCAAGCAAAGGACTGACTCTCTCTCAGCAGCATTTGAAGACTAATTCAAAATACTCTAGAACGCAGCACTCTGTTTTAAATATTCCAGACTGCAAGAAACTCAGCCAGCTTTTCAGTTGAGAACAAATGGAAGAGAACAAGCATTTATTCAGCACCTGCTATATTGACAGGCGTTATATTAATTGCTTTACAAATATTATCTCCATCGAACCTCACAATAACCTTGGGGGGAGGTAGGTGCTATTAAGGACCCCATTCCTGGGGGCAGCTAAGTGGCACAGAGGACAGAGCAGTGGGCCTGGAGCCAGGAACACCTGAGTTCAAATTCAGCTTCAGACCCTTACTAGCTATGTGACCCTGGGCAAGTCACATAGCTTCTCATCTGTAAAGTGGAGGAAATAACAGTACCTCCCTCCCAGGGTTGCTGTGAGGATCAAATGAGATAATATTTGTAAAGCACTTAGTACAGTGTCTGGCACATAGCAAACACTATACAAATGTTAGCTATTATTATTAGTTATTATAGTTATTGTTGTTCTACAGTTTGGAAAATGGAGGCAGACAGCGGTGAAATGACTTGCTCAGGGCCACCCAGCTGAGGCCAAATTTGAATTCAGGTCTTCCTGACTCCAGGCTCAGAGCTACCTCTGTTCTCAAATCCTTGCTCTATTTACGATTAGTGATTTTTTGAACTCTAATTGCCATGAAAAATAAAACTGAGATGAAAAAACACCAGCTCTCGAAGGGGCCTTTAGTGATCCTAACACCTCATTTTAAAGAGGAGAAATCCTGAGACATGATAGTCAATCAATAAAGGTCACATAAACAAAGCTACAGAGGAATCTTGCTTTCTCTACTTCTGCCTCGATGTCCTCTGGGTAACATTTTACTGCCTCTTTGCACCTAAGTGCTATTTTGAATTTCAAATTTCTAGCATTCAAAATATGCACCACTGCAGGCTAACTCCACAGGCAGTAAGTACTTGGCAGCAGGCAGTTTCAGGTTTTTCCTTCTCAGTCCTGATCTTAACTGTGTCAGGGACAAAGGCAATGATGGCATGTTTTCAAATTGGTGGATGATATGAGGTGAGAAAGGCCAATCTCCAGCACAGAACCTGGGCCCAAAGGAAGCCTGGCACACCAGGAGTTTGAAGCAGATCTAACAAAACAAAATATAATAGGGACGATTGTAAAGTGAATTTAAAAAATTAACTACACGAGTACAAAAATGGGGTAGACTTGGATGAAAGGTAATTCAAGACAAAAATACCTAGAGACAAGGATTCTCAAAGGACTGTATAATGTTGGATGTTATGTTATTGAAGATTAAAGAAAACATAAACCATAATTTTGTTTAAAGATTTTCCCTGCCCAAATATATAATGTGGTAAGTAAAAGATTAACAAAGTACACAAAACATGCTGTACATACATACACACACATACACACACACCTCAAAACATGTTAGATCTTGAACCTCGAAGGTGGAAAAAAAGGGTAGCAAATAAGCAATTACATAGCACCTACTATGTGCTACAGTATGCTAACT